GCCTCAAAGCGGCTTATTCGGTTGGTATGTTCAATTCGACAATATTTGGCACTGACAGATGGTCCCTGCCGCGCTACTTTGAGTACGACCTCGTGAATGGACCTGCAAGATCGTCCTCTTCGTTGGCACCCTCGAACTCTGATGGTGGCTGACGTCCGTCCTCGTTTTTCATGATCTTCAATTTGATTGGGGCGAGTGGCATCGACCCCTGAGTCGCGTCTGGCCACAAGCTGCGGTGTTCGGCGCTGCACATGCTGTGAGTACTGGATTGAGTGTCTTGCGTTTGCTTGGCATGTTTGTTGATGCGTCGCATGAAGTGCTTGTTGTCTGCAGCCGTATAACTCTCGGTTGTGCGTCTAGGTTTTGAGTTGTCATGCCGTGGCTGGAGTGGTGCCCGGATCCTCAACAACCAGACGCTCAATGGGTCAAGACTGAAACGCAAGATGAACGCGATGATCCGCCTCCGCGCCACACATACAGGGAGTGGAAGGAGTTCTATGCCCCAAACCTGGCTCATGACGAAGACCAGCCCACCACGCACTTGGTACAAGAGGGACTGGACCACTGAGGGCTACCGGCGTGTTGCTGCTCCTGAAGCTGTTCAAGACTTCAATTCGATGTTTCCTCATCAACATAGCGTGGCCACGCAATCTTCGGCTCTGAGTATGACACCGCAGATGTTGAGTGCGATTCTCCGATCTTCGGATGCTTCTGAATTCTCTGTTGAAGATCTTACTCGTCTTCAGGTGGGATCTGTCAGCAACTGTCAGAACGCGCGCGTCAAGCGTCCCACCATCCAGCACATGTATCTCGTGGAGTTGCACCGCCCGAATCTATGGGGGTCGCTGATCTAAATACACCTGCGGGTCAATCAGGCAGCTCTACCAACAAGGCGCAGCCCATCTTCGAGCTAGGTGACGTATAAACCGATGCATCTTGATCGTGACATGAAAGAGTGTCACCTTTGCTCTTGCTTACTTGTGTGTTTGCCGGTTGTGCATGGTTGTGCATTGTGACTGTTTCCTCGCCAGCTGGATCAGAGCCTGCGGTACGCCCTGTCCTTTACTTCAGCATGGACACAGATGATGTGACTCAAACGTCGGCCAGAACTGACGAGCAGCACCCTTGGCTCGAATACTCCGTTTGCGGATCTACACTCCGGGCCAACTTCAACTGTGGCACCCAGATGAGGCAGTACCCGCCCTACCTGAGAACTCTATCGGGAGTGGAAACGGAGCATGTTGACGGAACTGGTGAATCCAGTCAAGCATGGGCAATTCGTGACTGGCAACATCAAGGTTATCAACGGATTCTGTCTCGCTTGGAGCCCTTCTCCACCCATCATGACCCTGATCCATCACTTGCTGATGTACAACATCCGGACATCATCCGGGTCGATGGAGATGTTCACCTATGCCCCTCCCATTTCTGACGGTGATCGCCCGACAGCTTTGCAGCTTCCGCACACGTCTTGCTCATCTTGGAGATCTTTCGTCCCCGTCTTCTGAGCGGCCTCGTGCGGAGCGTGCAGTTTCGCGCTCTCCCCGACGCAGTGGATATTTTGGTAGACGTTAGAATTGATGAGCCAATTGCGTGATCTTCCGGCTGGAACAAAAGATTTTCGCCCCTCACTGAGGGGCGTGTGTGTGCGGAGTGGCAGAAAACCCTGCCACCACACAATAACTTTTTCCCACTGCAGACACTCTCGTGACCCTGGTGAAGCAGTTGGAGACGTCCAGCTGTGTACCTGCAATGGTTGTGCAAAGTCTTTTTGGCCCGTTGTTTCTCTCGCTGTGTGTGCTTCATGTTGAACCTTGTAACGTTTTCGACACTAGAGGGAAACCGAGTGCATTGCGAGCCGAAACTTATTCATGCAGAACCTTATCCAGGCCGAGACTTACCAGTTGTACTCGAAAGATTAGAACCCTCCATCTGGATTCTAAGTGTGTGTGTGTTTTGTGTTTTTTTCCGGGTAGTTTTAGGTGGTTTAATGGGTGTTTCCATTTAACAGAGAGGTGGTTTTGGTTGGTTTAGTGGGTGTGTGTGTGTTTCCATTTAACCCATATTCACTTTTAGCAGAGGGGGTGGGACCCTTTTAAAAACAACTTCCGACAAAGGCGTGCCTTTCTTCAATGGTCCGGGAAAAATGCAACATGGGTGTGTCATAAAATAAGGGAACCCGCAACAGCTGGTTTCCAGTGGTTTCCTATTTTGACACAGCCCGAACACGAATATCGATCCTCGGGGGGAAAACACACCCACACACACAGACACACTAAAATTTGGTGATGCAATTTGTTGAGGCTCGGTGCCCTGTTTGGCCGCTTGGTTCAAAGGGAAACCAAGAGGAAAACCACCATTTTGCTGTCTGTGTTGACACAGACCCACATGGGGAACGCCCCCGGGGCCTGACGTTGCTTCACTGGGTTGGCGTTCTTTGGGGAGGCGAGGACCCCCGCGACACTAAGGGAATTCTTCCCGACGAGCACCCCCTCCCCTGCACAGGGCGACAGTGCCTACCTTCCCTCATTCTCAGCCTTCTGCGGCCTTCTGTGGCCTTGCTTCACCTACTTTGCTTCCTGTCATGGCCCCTGCGTGGCCTTCCGTGCCCCCGCGTGGCCTTGCTTCACCTACCTTGCTTCCTGTCATGGCCCCTGCATGGCCTTCCGTGGCCCCCGCGTGGCCTCACCTACCTTGCTTCCTGTCATGGCCCCTGCGTGACCGTGAACCCTGCGTGGCCTTGCTTCACCTACCGGCGTGGCATTCCGTGGCCCCCGCGTTGCTTCCTGTCATGACCCCCTTGTGGCCTTGCCTTCTGTGGCCGCCGCGTGGCCTTGCTTTGCTCACTTTGCTTCCTGTCTTGGCCCTTGCGTGAGCTTCCATGGCCGCCGCATGGCCTTGCTTCGCCTACTTTGCTTCCTGTCATGGCCCCTGCGTGGCATGCCGTGGCCCCCACGTGGCCTTGCTTCACCTACTTTGCTTCCTGTCGCGTGGCCTTGCTTTGCCTACTTTGCTTCCTGTCACGTGTGGCTTTCCGTGACCGCCGCGTGGCCTTGCTTCGCCTACTTTGCTTCCTGTCATCCTTGCGTGGCCTTTCGTGGCCGCAGCGTGGCCTTACGTTGCCCACTTTGCTTGCTGTCTTGGCCGCCCCGCGTTGCCTTGCTTCGCCTAATTACTTTGCTCCCCGTCCTGGCCCCTGTGTGGGCTTGCGTGGGCGCCGCGTGGCCTGACTTTGCCGCCGCGTGGACTTACTTTGCTCACTTTTTTGCTTGCTGTTTTGGCCCCTGTGGCCCCGCGTGTCCTTGCTTCGCTTGCTTTGCTTCCTGTCATGGCCCCTGCGTGGCCTTCCGTGGCCGCCGCATGGCGTTGCTTCCTGTCTTGGCCCCTGCGTGGCCTTCCGTGGCCGCCGCGTGGCCTTACTTTGCTCACGTTGCTTCCTGTCTTGGCCCCTGCGTGGCCTTCCGTGGCCGCCGCGTGGCCTTACTTTGCTCACGTTGCTTCCTGTCTTGGCCCCTGCGTGGCCCTCCGTGGCCGCCGTGTGGCCTTACTTTGCTCACTTTGCCCTGAGGCCCCAGCGTGGCCTTGCTTCGTCTACTTTGCCCACGCGTGGCCCTCCGTGGCCGCCGTGTGGCCTTACTTTGCTCACTTTGCTTCCTGTCTTGGCCCTTGCGTGAGCTTCTGTGGCCCGCGCATGGCCTTGCTTCGCCTACTTTGAGACCTGTCTTGGGCTTTCTGTGGACCCGCGTGGCGTTACTTTGCTCTCTTTGCTTCCTGTCTTGGCCCTTGCGTGGACGTGGCCCCCTGCGGGTCTTGCTTACTTTGCTTCCGTCTTTGGCTGCTGGGCCCTTGCGGGACTTTTGTCTTGGTTCCTGCATGGCCTTCTTCGGCCCCGGTGTGGCCATACCTTGCCTTTCCCTCTCCAACCCTCTGTCGCCTTCGCATGGCCTTTGCTCTCTCTGTCTTGGGCCCTGCGCAACCTTCTGCGGCCCCGCATGGCATGTTTGGCCCTGCGTGGCCTTACCTTGCTTACCTTGCTTCCTGTCTCGGCCCCGTCATGGCCTTCTGTGGCCTTCTCGTGGCCTTCCTGCACTTCCTGTCTTGGCCCTTGCGTGGCCCTCCGCGGCCCCAGCGTGGGCATTACTTGCTTTGCTGTTTTCCACACTTGCGCCACCCTTGGGTTGACCCGCTTGCCCATGGTGTGGCCTGTGTCTTGGCTGCATCTAGTTTCCGGCCGGCTTGAACCCCAAGCTTCGGCCGGGGGGGGGAAGCGCGGGTCTGGCCTCGCTAACATGCGCTGGCCACGAACCAACCAACCAACCAACCAACCAACCAACCACATGGGGAACGTTTCCCTTGGTCGATTGATCAGCATGATGTGCGGTTTGGTCAAAATGTTATTCGTGAATGCTTCAGTTGAGACATGGGGGCACTCGCTAGATAACCATAAACCGGGACACGCTCAAATTTGCCTGTGTCGAGGTATTGCGCATTTTGATGGTGGCACATATTGAGGCTACGATGGGGCATCCCCTTTGACGCGGATCCGGATCATTTTGAAAAAGTCCCCCGCGCTATTGATCCGCTCAGTCAATATGAGGCTCATGGCAAACATATCCTGTCTCCATGTCGTTCTCGGGAGCACTGCGACATGGGGACTGTTTGTCACACATGACAGTTTGGAAGTTGAAAGCACCGGCTGAATATTGCCCGTCCCCAACTTATTCTGCGAGCTCGGAAGTGGGTTTGTTGTCAAATGGGTGTGGCCCTTTTTAGGCAAACCCCCTTTTGGCTGGTGCTAAAGGTAAGTAAAAGGACCATCTCCTTTAAGACAATCCGAAATGAGGCGATCTCCACAAAATGGCTGGGTTGTTTACTCTTCAAAACCACCCAGACTTGGTGTCGCATAAAGGGCCTGGGCCCAAATGCAGTGAACCCGTGGGCCCGAGGCAACCTCCAATCCAAGGACCTGCATGTCTCAAGCGCGGTTTGTTTGCTTGAAGGCACAGCTCGGTCGGGCGGAACGCGTTTTTCTTGACCCCGGCGATTGTGCGAAAGCTGGGCGAGAAGGCCCTGGAGAGCCTGCAGAGTGCCGTGAGACTTTGGTTGAGACGAGTGCCCTTCGTTTTTCTCGGTTTGGTACCCTTTTCAGGATGGTGTAATGGGACGTCATCTGGAAAACCGCCATTCTGGGGGGACCCCTATTTTTCACATGCCCGTTTGTTGGGCTTTCCTTTGGACCAAGGTTAGCTAACAAGTGACCATATAGGGCCGGGGTGCTTCCAACTCTCAACATAATGGTGGCCTTTTGGTCAAAGATCAGGCCTGTTGCTCCTCATTGGTTTATGGCGTCCAAACAATGGGTTGGGGGGCTGAAAATAATCTTTTCCACCGGGTCTCAAGGATTGTCTGATTGTTCTGTTGCTTCTCGTGGCCACCCTGCCCATAGAAATCATGGCCAGGTTGCGGGCAATGTAAAGGAGGCGGTGGAGGAGTGTGTGGCAGTGAAGCATTTGGTGACTTCTAGAACGGCGGCCTCCTATCCGGGCTCCCACAACATGTGCCAGTGCTTCCAGGAGAGTTGGATTCGGCAAGTTGGATTCGTCGGAAAACAGTCTTAGAGATGCCATCAAGAAAACCAAAGCCAGACGCGTGCAATCGTTGGAACCGCAAACTTAGATGAAGGATTTGGTCTCGACAGTTTTCCGGACCTTGGAGGATGTTGGTTGTCCTTGGATGTGTCTTTCCAGATAGGCTTCAGGTTGGTCCGGGGCGGCAGGTTCCACAGGGTTTTGACAGGGTTCCACAAGGCTAGGGCCACAAGGTTCTGCGAGGGCCTATAGAGTCCGGGGCGGCTCTGAGGTAGCACAAGGCTTGCGCAAGGGTCCCACAAGGTTCTGCGAGGGGCTATGGAGTCCGGGGCGGCTCTGGTAAGGCAGGGTTCCACAAGGCTTTGCGCGAGGGTCCTACAAGGTTCTGCGAGGGCCTATGGAGTGCCTCGTGCAACCCGAGTTTTTTTGGTGGAGCCCTGTGAAACCTTCCGGCCTTCCCAGCCCTCGCAGAAGCTCATCGAACCCTCCTGGAACGCTTGAACCTGAGCTCAGCACAAAAACCCCGTGGAACTCTTGCAGAACCCATGGGGGCCCGCTTGCATCACCGGGAGGTCAGGGCGCGATTGACTGTCAGGCCGTTGCGGCGTCTACCCAGACGCGCGGGCCAGGTTGCACGGTCGCCGTTCGGGCCCCGTCGGCCGTACCTTTTTGTTAGTCAAGGCGTCTAAGCAAAACCAGGAACGCGCTATGATTGGTGGCTTGGATTGGTAGTTTGAACCTCCCCGGGCCGCGTGCTCAGGGCCTGGAACCTTGCAAGAAAGTCAAACTTCAAAGATAACCAGAGTTGAACTCAACTTTTAAATCCCACCTCCCAAGCTTGGGGTTCTGCGTTTCAGAGGAGCACGTGAGCGACGCCCAGCCCTCAGAGCCCATCTTCCTGGTGCTGGAGCTCTGCGGAAAGAGCCTGAGCCAGCGGCTCCGCGAAAGACCCAACTGGGCCTGGCGCAAGCAGACGCTGGGAAGGAGATTTAAGCAAATGGGGCTTGTGTGGGCGGTTCAAAGGCTGGCGAAGCTCCTACGGCCGTAATATGGGTGTGAATTTTGATGGGTCCCGGACCCGAAATGGTGGATATAATTTGGAGGTTCGTGTCCACCAAGCACTTTTAAGGGGATTCCCTATTAAAACTCAGCCACCTGGGATGCTCACTCTGCGCTGAGGTGGACCTTAGTGACTTTTTTGGCCAATCCCTGAGGAAGTGAGGATTTCCACTTGGGATACTCACTTCCTCAAGGAAAGATGCCTGTTGGGTGTCTCTCTTTTTTTTGAGGATACCCTTTTAATTGTTCATGGCCATAATCATACCGCTGGGGTCACTGGCGACATTTGAACCCGTTCCCGCTGTTGGGTTTGTCGGTTTTTGAGTATGTCCCCTTGGATGGATTCAAAGGAGAACCGAAAGGAAAGAAGCCATTTTACGGGTCTCCTATGTCGGGAACCACCGATGTGCTTGTAGTCTTCCAAGATCTCTAAGTTTCGGCGGATTCGTGCTGGGGTCTCCTCAGATCAGAAAATACCTGGATCCTCCAAGCTGTGCTTTTTTGTGTGCTCGATCAAGAGAAAGGGCTTGTTGTCTGAAAAAGCGCTTTTGCTAGATGCGGGCTTTTCCCAGTGATGCATGGTTTTCTTGATTGGGCTTGTGCTGGAAAAGCGCCTTTCCTCGGTCAACAAAGCTTTTGCCCGGCCAAAAGACGCTTTTTCTTCGCGGCAATTTTGAAAAAGAGGAGTTGTTGGGTCAAAAAAGCCGTTTTTGAAAGAAACAGCGGAAATGATTGCTTTTTCCTCAAACGGCGGAAATTTTGCACATTTTGCTTGCCCAGGTATGTTTGGTTGTTTACCCTGGGGTTGGGCCAGTTGCGGTGGCTAAGTTTAAAAATCGCAGGACTTCCGAAAACGATACCAATCAAAGTAGAATTCAGGTTTGCCTTTTGCGATGTCCTTGGACATCCAAGCTTTTGGGGTTCATGGTACGGGCTATATCAAGCCCTATAACCATGCTTGTAGAATCAAACAGCGGATTTCGCGCACTTCGTGGGATGTGAAACCAACCTGGGCTTTGGTTTTCCGTGAACATGGCCCCGAATAGTGATTCTAAAAAGTGCTGAAGGGCAAATGGCTCTGAATGTTACTAGGCGGACCCCCTCCAAATTGGTTGGTGGACAAGAATCCCCATGTAAATGAGGGGTTTCCGCCAGAGGTTGCCTTTAGGTTCGGTCAACATATGCATGCGGTCAGTTTGGGAGAGACATGGCTTTCATCCAAAAACCTGGGGATAAGCAAGAATGTTTACATGTCCAATAAGGTAACCGCATATTCTGAGCGGCTCAACTGGGTGCATCTCTAAACAGGATACGCAACCCGTTGATTTTGTTTAGACAAAAAGGGCATCCTCAAAAAGCCTCTCTGGAAGGTGCTGTAAAAGACACGGGACAAAGGACGGTTAACCGGCCAAAATGGTCTTGACGGTGTCGTGTTTTCCCCCGCTGTTTTTGCTACACCGTTTGGAAAGGCATCAACTTGTTTGCTTCCATGGGACACTAGAATGGACGACCCCATATGTTGGAACATATTTTCGTATATCCTGTTGTTTGTTGGTTTCTTTGCAGGGTGATTATTTAAGGAAAACAGGTCAAACCCTGTTGGATGGTAGTGTGACCTAGAGGTGGCGTTGGGAGGGGGGTTGGGGTTTGGTTGGGAAGTGGTGGGGTTGTGCTGTGACCTAGGGGTTGGGGTTTGGGAGGTTCGGGACTGGCTTGGAATTGGTTTGGGGTGATTTGAAGGCCTGGTTGGAAAAGTGGAGAGTCATGTGGTCCCGACTTGGGCGTGGAACCACTCTGGAGCCGCTGGTTCTTGTGGATGACTCAGGCTTCGCACCTCATGCCACCCTAGACCTACGCACTGCTCTGGGCGACACCCCCGGGATGGTGCCAATTTTGAACTTTGTCGAGCGGAGTACATATCTGAAAGCAAACTTTCATTGCCTGCACCCCGGATTGTGCCATGCTCAAGAGTCGTTGTGGTCATGGTCATGGTGGCCAATCATTACATGGATGCTTCTTAATTTCCCTGTTGAAAGGTTCTTGAAAACATGTGTGCCGCTTTGGTGAGCGCTGCTCCCATTTGACCACTGCCCCCCCCAATCCACCCAACCGCCCGCACCAAGGATCATCACTCAGATCCTCCAGGGCGTTGACTTTCTGCAGGCCAACGGCAAGATCCACCACGACCTCAAGCCCGACAACGTTTGCGTCACCGACGAGGACGTAGCCACTCGGATCCAAGAAATCGCGGATCCAAAATGAACGACTGTCTCATTTGTTTGACTTGGGATGTTTTTTCACTTAAGTTTTTTCTGGACCAAAAACCTGCAAACTGATTCTAGAGTTTATCAGGGGCATGATTTTGACTGGGGAGCGTCAAAGTCGGCAACCTTGTTTTTAGTTCTCTTTATTAGAACTCCGAGCAAGCTTGTTTAAGCTTTTTCTGGACTTACACAGGTTGACCTTTCAACTCTCCTCTAAACTTATTTTAGATTCTGGGTTTGGCGAAATATGAAACGCAGTCCAAGGATATTTGCTTTAGTATGCCTTGGGGTTAGGCCCTTTGGTCAGAAGTCCGCGGATTGTAGCCCCAACGTCCCGTCAAGGTTCTTGCTGAGCATGGTTTCACTTGAGGAGACCCCTTTTGGAGGAGAGCGGGACGCTGTAAGCGTGCGTTTTTTTTTAAATAGTGGAAACTCAAGTTGAACTATGTTTGCATAACGTGTGTTTGAATGTCAGCTGAATTGTAAATAAATTCGGTTGGAAAGAACATACTGTGTAAGTTATCAACAAAAATAGACTTATTCCAACTTAAATTATATTGTGAAACTGTGAAACAGAAGTTGTGATGGGATTCATTCCTTATCAAACTACGTTTAAACTCTAATTTAATTGCAATGTTCTATTGGGAAAGGATTTCTAAATGCAAGATGCAATTTCCAGTAGGATTCTGATCAAGTATTTCCTTATTGAGTTTCGTTGAAATCCTATTCAACATCAAACTTAGAGAGCGGCCGTTGGTGGAGATGTGAATTGAGTACGACAAACGCTCAAATCACGGTGTTTTACGGTGTTTTCTTACCATGGTAGTTCTGGGGCTAGTAAACACAAAAAAACACACACAATTTTAGGATCTCTCCTTCTGAAATCTACTGAATATATTTGCCAAATTCTACCCAACGTCTAACGAAAATTAACTAGTTATTAAGGAAGGACTCCAATCAAGTTGTATAATTTAAATTAGATTTTCAATTATGGTTCATGTACTTCAACATACATGTCACACGTGAATTCCTTTTCAATTAGAATTGTCCTTGCAAATCAGTAAGCATCTACACAACATGTATTAGACATGTTCGGAACCTCTAGGTTCTTTCCTTACGACATGTACTCAATATATTTATCAAGTTCTACTTAATTCCTATCTCACATTAAATATATCATTTAATAAGGAAATAATCCAAACATAAGTTTTGGCTTAAAGTAGAACTTAAATAATGTTTGTTCCTGTCCAATAGAATTGTCTTTGCAGATCAGTACGCATTTGAACAGCTTGACAATTTTGGGACCTCTAACTTCTTTCTTATGAACTCTACTCAGTATATTTATCAAGTTCTACTTGTATAGTTCTAATTAAAACTAAGCAGAATGTAACAAGGAACGAGTCCAACCAGAGGAAACCATCTCTAGCTTGCTGTACTAGGGCTTCGATGTGAACTAGGTACACCGCCCATAGTAGCCCGTGTAATATCGTGCGTTTTTTGGCTTCGGAGCAACCTGTCGAAGCTGCGAGTACAGGGGGAAAAGGAGAGCCCCGTCTGTCCCTCATGTAAAATGCGCCGACATAGTGGGGAATTTCTTGCGTTCCCAAATCCCAATGGCACGCTGCTTTCAGAAGCTCATTTTTACAGCCCCCAACTATCGTGTGTCAAGGAATTTGCCATGTTCAAGACTGTATGTTCAAGACCGGGAACCGCATGATGAACTCTCTTTTCAATAACCGACGGGGGGAAGGGGTCCTTAGTCTGTTCTTCACCCAAAGGTTAATTCAGCAACAATGTTTGTCGTTTTTTCGGTTGCAGGCAACACACTGGCATGTTCAAGACCGCATGTTGCCTGGGAACCGCATGATGAGCTCTCTTTTCAATAGCCGACGGGGGGAAGGGGTCCTTAGTCTGTTCTTCACCCAAAGGTTAATTCCCCAAGAATCTTCGTCGGTTTTTCGGTTGCAGGCAACACACTGGCATGTTCAAGACTGAATGTTGCCTGGGAACCGCATGATGAGCTCTCTTTTCAATAATAGTCTGTTCTTCACCCAAAGGTTAATTCCCCAACAATCTTTGTCGTTTTTTCGGTTGCAGGCAACACACTGGCATGTTCAAGACAGCATGTTGCCTGGGAACCGCATGATAAGCTCTCTTTTCAATAACCGACGGGGGGAAGGGGTCCTTAGTCTGTTCTTCACCCAAAGGTTAATTCCCCAAGAATCTTCGTCGGTTTTTCGGTTGCAGGCAACACACTGGCATGTTCAAGACCGCATGTTGCCTGGGAACCGCATGATGAACTCTCTTTTGAAAAACCCACGGGGGGGAGGGGTCCTTAGTCTGTTCCCCAAATATCTTTGTCGGTTTTTCGGTTGCAGTCAACACACTGGCATGTTCAAGGCCGCATGTTGCCTGGGAACCGCATGATGAACTCTCTTTTGAAAAGCCGACGGGGGGAAGGGGGTCCTTAGGCTGTTCTTCACCCAAAGGTTAATTCCCCAAAAATCTTTGTCGGTTTTTCGGTTGCAGGCAACACACCGCATGATGAACTCTCTTTTCAAAAGCCGACGGGGGGAAGAGAGTCCAAGTAAGGCAGCCAGACAGTGAAGAAAGGACCCAGCACCAAGTGTGTAGAGAAGCAATGCGAGACGCCAGCCAAACGCAGCAAGATGATGAAGGCAAACGCTAGACGAACGTCTTCTGACACCATGGCTTGAGCACAAGAAGCTACAGCAAAACAAGACGGCTCAGCACACTAACAAAGAACGCCACACACCCCACAGAAACAGGAAATAAAGAAGTTCTTGTCAAGCAAAGTCGAAGAAGTGACGTAATCATTCCCCCTCCCCCCAAAAAATGGAGAAAGTAGGGGGCCTGGGGGGAAGAGGGAGGAGTGTTGGGGTTATTGGGTCAAATGTTGTTATCCAACGTTTTAACACCCTTGTTTGATTTCTTCCTATATTTTGTTGTAGGGTGTTAGGGGTGGATTTTCTGGGGAGTAACGTTTTGTTCATTTGAAAGAGTTAGCCCTTTTAGTAGTTATTATGTTCTGGGGTGTTGGTGGTGTATTTGTTTTGTTAGTGTTTTCTCACTAATTTTCATTTATAGGTTAAATGTTCAGTATAATTATAACATATAAGATTTTACATGTTATTATTATATTATGATTATAATTTCAGTTCAGGATAATAATCTAATTGGTTTGTCTTACTTCTTTCATACATCATTTTAAAAATAATATTAACATCTCTCACTGTATTCTGAACATTAAACTTTTTACTTTCAATAAATAATTTGATATTTTCTTTAACATCTTCTCCTTTCTCTTGACTATAGCCCAACATCCATAATATATCATCAATCATTTCATATTTTTCTTACTGATTTTAAGAAACTGTTTAACACAATCGTAAGGTGGTATTTTATTTACAGTTAGAAATATTAAAATCTCATCTTCTACATTTCTATTATGTATTCTTTTTATTCCCAACAGACATTTGATTAAAAATTGATTATCTCTCCATGTTTTACAATTTTTACATATGTCTTCTTCACCATCCATTGAATAATTAATAATATTATTCACTATTTCATTAGGTAAACTCAATTTATACAATTCCATATTTTCTTTTTTGAAGTGACAACAATCATAGCATTTTTTATCGATATAATTATTGATTCCATCACCGTTCATTTTCCTTTTAATATATAAGGTAATATTTCTTTAAGTAGTTTTGGCTAGGGGGTTGCTGGTCGGCTGGTCTGGGTTTCAGGTTTAATTTAAATGTCTTAACCTTCTTGTTAGATTATAAAACAATGCTTACTCATATTATAATTAAATATTATGATTAAGCCATGAAATCATTGTTTCTGTTATGTATAAATTTCAAATGTAATATGTTCTATAGCAATGATTTCGTCTCGTTTCATAGTCTGTTTTATTTCTTCAACTATTTTTTCAATATAAAATTGTAATGACGCTCTACTTGTTATCTTGTTCTGTTCGCTTGATGCATAATAACTACAGTTGCAAATATTATTCCTATACATAATTTTCGAACTAATTTCTATTCCAACCTTTATTTCTTCATCATACTTCATCACTCTTAATAATTCTTTTGGTGGTTTCAACGCATATGAAAGTGCTTTATCACCTTTCAAACATATATTGCTACTCAACACATAATATCTACTTTCTCCTTCTCCTTCTCGTTCAAAAATAGACGGTTTCCATTTCCTTTGTAAGACCCTTAATGCTTTACACTGTTTTAGTCTTTGCCACCCTTCATTGCCATTCATATAAGAAGCGATGTTTAACAATGCTTCCATAGGTAAGCTAGCACAATTCTCAACCATAAAATTATTATCTAACATTTTACCCTCACTCATTTTTCTCTTTATATATAAGGCTTTTTCTCTTTAAGTAGTTTTGGCTAGGGGTTGCTGGTCAGCTGGTCTGGGTTTCAGGTTTAATTTAAATGTCTTAACCTTCTTGTTAGATTATAAAACAATGTTTAATCATATTATAAGATAATACTATTAATAAACAAAAGTTAATTTTACCCGTATTCAATCTCACCAGCGATACAACCACTATAACAACTCATACTATACTCACAACAATACTGCTCGTATCCTTTTATTAATTGGTCTGTGTAAATTTCAATTAATTCGCTAAGAATATATCTCATACAATAATTGTTATTTCTATATGACCACCAACTGTTTAGGTTTGGAAAGCTAAACCCACAACGTTTTATTTTTTTTAATCTTCAATGGTAAGACATTTTCTTAAAATGATACAAATTTCATTTTCATTATTCTTACAGTATGATTTTAATGCTTGATAATACATTTTTCTATTTTTAAACCGTTCTTTAACTTCTTGTATATCAAATACTCGGTCAATGTGTTTTCTGTAATGTCTTATTTTTATACTATATTGGTTTTCTGCTAGTAGTGT